GAAACGGGACCCACAATGAAGGTGAATTTTGTTCTGAGTAACAACAGCGACATTATTTTATTTTATATATTCCTTCTTCCATTTTCAGCATCACTTTTCTGCAGTGATACATTTTGCTGGTCTTAAAGCCGTTGGGGAGTCGGTCCAGATGCCACTGGAATATTACAAGGTGAATCTGACAGGGACCATCCGGTTGCTAGAGGTGAGTTTCTGTTATGCAAGATTATAATGAATGTTTAGCTATAGTCAGTCAATAGAAGATAGTTGTGGAGAAGGAGCTCTCACTCAGTCACCAGAAATGTTAACTGAGAAGAGCAAAAAAAGCCAGAATTTATACTAGGGTTCGGGTGGCCATTTTCACCAATCTGCAGATCAGAACTTCTAGGGCTGAAACGTTGATAGGCCAGAATCACTTGGCCAGAAGTTGAAATCCTGAAACCGTTAGTGTGTTATACAGCAGCATCCTGCGAGTGTTTAGCAGAGTCTTCCCAAATTCTCCAAATTTGTTCAACTTCAGCTTCTGTAGCCCCCCAAGTAGTATATGGAAGATGGATTCCAAGACATCTAGAAGCTGTGCAGTTGGGAGTCAGCTGGTTTATGATCTTTTAAGGCCATCTTGGATGCTAACACAAGACCCCATACCAAAACCCCACAGCATAGAGCTATTGATGGCAAACCTGTGGCACACGTGCCACAAGTGGCAGGCAGAGCCCTGAGGCCACGCGAGCCGTCGCCCCAGTTCAGTTCCACCATGCATGCCCACGTACCTCCCACCAGCCAGCTGGTTTTTGGGTCTCTGCCGCGCATGCGCAGGGGAATGGAGCACACGGGGGTCCGAACAGGCATGCAGGGGGGGCGCAGGCATGCATGGAACAGGGGTTGCAGGGGGTGGTCACACATGCATGCAGGGGGTTGCGTGTGCATGTGGGGGGCACGTGTGCATTGCATTTTGGGTGTGCGCTTGCGCTTTTGGCACACGACAAAAAGTTGAGCCATTACTGGCCTAGAGTATCCTCTCATTAAGTACTGGGGTGGGCACTAGTCAGTTGCACCAGTCTTCATTCAGAGCCATGCTGGCCTGGATAAAACAGCGGTTCCTATGCAAGGAATATTATCCCCTGTTGTCAGATTTATCTGCTGCCTCTGACCGGATTCAGAATCTAGCTTATCTGTCCTTCCTTTTTTGGCCTCTCTCAGACCATGAAAGCCCATGGAGTCAGGAACATTGTGTTCAGCAGTTCAGCCACCGTCTACGGAAACCCCGTTTACCTCCCTCTTGATGAGAAGCACCCTGTTGGCAGCTGCACCAACCCCTATGGCAAATCCAAGTATTTCATTGAAGAGATGATCCAAGATTTGTGCAAGGCAGACCCAGTAAGAGAGCAACACTGCACCTTAATTCCCGTTTAGTCTGCTGTGTCCCACTGGATTTACTTTATGTGTTTTTTTAATCCTAGGAGTGGAACGCTGTGCTCTTGCGATATTTTAACCCTATTGGAGCTCACAAGTCTGGAAAAATTGGAGAAGACCCCCAGGGCATCCCAAACAATCTGATGCCTTATGTTGCCCAGGTATACAGTTCTTGTGCTATTCGATCAGCTGCACTAAGATTTTCTCAGTTTACCTTTTCATATTTTTTTTCATCTTCTGTCTTTTTCAGGTGGCTGTGGGGCGCAGAAAACATCTGAACATCTTCGGGAATGATTATGACACAGTAGATGGGACAGGTGGGTGGGGCTGAGTATCATCCAAACTTTAAAATGAAGACCCCCCTTCCAAAAAAACAAAAACAAAAGCTGAGTGGATAAGCTCAATGAAGAAAAACATAGCGAGAGTCACAATTTGGAACTTTCCTCCCAAGGAAGATGTGAATATATTGTCCACCAATTCTTCTGAAACTAGGACTTCCTTTCTTTCCATCTTAAACCAGGACTAAGCATCTTTAGTAAGACAGGCACCTTTGCTTCATGTACATTTTAAAAAAAAATCTTTAAAATCTCCATTATTGCCTTCTGAGACATTCCAGGATTTAATACCAGAAGACATTATGGTCCCATAAAATTTCAAGCGCTTTATAAAAGTAAATTTATTTGGGGTTAAATGGTTGTGTCATTTATGGCAATAATTTATTAACAAGTTCTAAAATCCTTTCCTGGTAGAATTACTAAACTACTAGTTAAAAGGGCAGTGAAGTGTACAGGGGCTAGATTAAAATGGAACTACTAGATATATTCATCTCCTGGGTCTCAAATACTAATTTTCTTTGCTGGGAACTGAAACATACTAGAGAGCCGCTCCAGACCTCAAGAAATAGACAGACAGTTCTGGTTGAGCAGGATTCCTAAATAGCTTGGGAAAGAGACTCTATTAACACCATCCCTGATTTAATGTGCAAAATTTGTTCTCTGTTCTATTGTGTGTATTTGCCCAAGACAATGCATATCTCCTAAAGTTGTGGAAATACATGTGCACCACTGGGTGAACAGAACATTGAACAATTGTCCTTTGATAGGCATTCGGGATTACATCCATGTAACTGATCTGGCGAAGGGCCATATTGCAGCCTTGAAGAAGCTCCAGGAGAACTGTAGATGCAAGGTAAGGATGTTCTTTATAAAAGTGTCCACCCTTTGAGAAGGAAAATGCCTTGCTTAGGGCAGAGTGTCTTTGTAATCCTTATTTTTCTTATTTCATTTCTGAATGGTCTTACAATACAGGAGACCAAACTTAATAGCTTTAAATCAGGTGCACCCTCTGCATCCACCCACTAGACTTACACTGAAAACAAGTTGGTGTAACCATCCTCTCCAATCGTCTCATATTTAAGCTCTTCTTTGCTTCCCCATCTCCTTCAACAAAGGATGAGCATAGAAGAATACAACTATGAGCAAAAAAATTTGCTTTCTTACAGATTTACAACCTTGGGACTGGTGTTGGTTACTCGGTCTTGCAAATGGTCAAAGCCATGGAGAAGGCATCTGGAAGACAGGTAAGCTGACAAACCAAGATGAGATGCAGGGGCTGACAACCAATATGGGGATCTCCTACGCCAAGGCTTAAAAGTGCCTGGGACCTGCACCTGGCGATCTTATTGTGAAGCTGTCCACTTTCTGGAGCTTTCAGCAGAAATCCACTATCTGCTTTGTTACATTTGATGATAACCTCAACCAGTTTCTCAGTTGGCATCTTAACAACTGTCTCCAATTCATTTTTCAGAAATGTGAATGGAGGCTATTTACTTGCTTACTAAGGCTATTTATTACTTACTAAGCACCTGAGCGTAGTAGTAGTAGTAATGGGTGGAAACTAATCAAGGAGAAGCAATTTTGAACTGAGGAGAAATTTCCAGACAGTTAGAACAATTAATCAGTGAACAGCTTGCCTCCAGAAGTTGTGAATGGAAGTCTTTAAGAAGATGTTGGATAGCCATTTGTCTGAAATGGTGTAAGGTTTCCTGCATAGGCAGAGGGTTGGACTAGAAGACCTCCAAGGTCCCTTCCAACTCTGCTATTGTATTGTATTGTATTGTACTTATTTTAGATAAACTACAAGATTGTTGAACGCCGAGAAGGAGACGTAGCCTCTTGTTATGCAAACCCTGGTTTAGCTGAGCGGGAGCTGGGTTGGAAAGCTATCTTTGGTCTGGACAAAATGTGTAAGTAGAGACTTTCTGCTTGCTGCTCATTTTCCCCGGAACTTTTTGCTTCCCTCTCCTGCTGGAGAATGGAGTGGCCATCCTTCCTTCCTGATACATTTTCATACCTACCTAAAGGGCAAGATGCTGGACCCTCATTGTTCCTCTCTATTCTCCTTCCTCTCCCTCGTTTTCAGGTGAGGACTTATGGCGATGGCAGGCACAGAACCCCACTGGTTTCAGCAAGAACTAGGAGACGGAAGATGTTGCCTGCTCTTCCCACATACAACCACTACTAGTACATTAGTGCAGACCCAAGAGCTGACTAGTTTTGAAAAAGGAAGATGGCCCATGCTCGTTTCTTCTTTCCTTTTTGGAGCCGACTGATCACACCAAACGAGGATGCCATTGGCCTCTTCAGTGGCCTGTTCTTTTCTCCTCATCCCATCTCTTTGTCAGAAACTCAAGAGTCTTTTTACTGGCTGAGGCGATGTGTTTTTTTTTTTTACTGAATGAGCAGCAGGACAGCTGGGTATCACTGGAGGACTAAATCCAAATGTTTCCCTAGAGCCTGGTTAGCTCTGGGGGAATGTAATCCACAACACTTTGGGGTTTTTTCGGCTTCAAGAGACAAGAGCTGCTTAGGGTTAAGAGAGCAAGATTTCAGAGACTTGATTCTTTCATTTGAGCGGAAGAGCCAGGACACCTAAGTGGTCAAAAAACAAAGCCTGTGGGTGGTAAAGTGGGTTTTGTCATTATCGCCATTTCTTTTTCTAAATTATAAACTGTACACTTATATTTTTTGAGCAAAAAGAATTACCTCTTTAAGCTACATAAGCTGTAAATTTTAACGTTGCTCAGTCTATAGTCCAAAGCTTATTGGGCTGGCTGGTCTTCAAAACGAGACATCACAGATTAATAGTGACGCTTTTTGTTCTCCTGGATAGTGGTATAACTAAAGGTACTACATGCAGTGATGTTTCTAACGTCTTGAAAAGAGAGGCTCCCACTAATAGCTTTCTTTTAAGATTGTAAATTGAGAAAAAGCAGAAGAGCGTCTGCCAGTAATGTAGGTATACAGTATAGTCCTCAGGTTATGACTATAATGGAGCTTCTCGTCATAGCTGACAGTCATAAAGCATCAATTTTACTACCTTTTTTGTGGTGGTGGTTAAGTAAACACTGTAGTCTTTAGGTGGACCAATAGCTCACTATGGGCATGGTTTTGTTAGGAATATAATCTAACGGTTGGGTTAGCAATATATAAANCATAATCATCACAATTATGACAAATCATGGCTTGAACTATCTTGCTTTGCAAGTATCATATATTAGTTTCACCTTTTAAGTTGCATTACTGAAATAAATGAACTTTTGCACGATATTCTAATTTTTTGAGTTTCACCTGTATATGATCACTTTCAGTTAGACTGGGCTAGTTTCAAAATTGGTGAATAATGGGTGAGGCCCTTTTTCAAACACAGCAGAGTCATTTCAGAGGCAAGGAATGTGTGACAGCAGCTAAGGAACATTATGGCAAGAGGTGGCGTAGAAGGCAACAAAGTTGTTCCAAATGTTCCCGCTGGCAGCTATTACGATTTCTTGTACTGTTTCTTTGAAAGTTATTCCTGTAGTAATAGCAATAGTACTTAGACTTATATATCAACCGAAGTCTGTTTGCATATTGTTAAATTGTCACTTTAAATTTTTACATTTTACTGCCAATATTATTTTTTCAGATAATGATGATTCCTAAAAATGATAGCTTGTAGCAACAACTGACGGATATCACCACTGATATTAGCAAACACCTTACTTGCTAGTTCTACAATCTTATTCCCTTGCTCTCTCAGGGAAGGGAAAAATGTTGGCATAGCTCAGTCTGATTGGTTAATTGAGAACTTTAGCAGTAATTGTTAAAAATATTTTTTCTGTATATTTGCTGCATTTCATTGTATACTGAGAGTTTTAAGCTTATTTATAACCGTTGTGTATCACAATGTAAGAAAATTCACATTCAAAACCACTTAGTTACAGTTTTCAATAACTGAAGATACCTTTAGCCACAGACTGATGGACTGTAATGCAGTGTAATGTAAAGAATTTCTCAAGACAAGCCTGCCTAATTCTGATCTAGTTCTTAAATGAACCTCTCCTTTTTTTTCTTTCAGATTTTTGTTATTTACAGTGTTTCTTGTTATTCAGATTTTTATGTTTGTTGTACATCACTATGTCAAAAAAGCTGTAGTCCCTATACAGCTATCTCCAAATTTATATTTTCTTAAGACCAATGAAACATATGACAAGTACAAAACTAGTCTCCTCATTCAAAACTCTACTGGTAAGAAATTTAACAACTACATTTTAAATGCAATATTCTGATTGGTTTTATCTCAATTCCTGGCATTTCCACTTCTTTATTTCATATTTATAAAATCCACTACAGGTGGACTATCTTGTTACAAAATATTATATCTTAGCTTTTTGAAACAAAATGTAAAATTGGAATTGGAAACTCCATAGCTAACTGATGTGATAGTGAAGTGAAACATTATGTGACTGTGCCAGACTTACAACTACTTTTGTGCTGCAATTGTTAAGCAAATTATTGTGCATCGTTAAGTGCAACATCACGTAAGTGTGACCTGCAACTTCCTGCTAGCTTCCCCACGATCACATGACTGTGAAGATTGCAAGTTGGAGAACCAGTCATTAACTATTTATCATTGTTGTACCTTTGAATGGTTGCTAACCGAGGCAGTCAATAAGCAAGGATTACCTGTATTGATACAATATCTTGGGGCTATGGGGTGTTTAAGAGCTAGAAAATGATTGGAAAGACGACAGAGATTCTCCCAAGAATCAGAGAAGAGAAATAACTGTACAGTAGCCACTTTAGATCTTAGATTCTCTCATTCAGTTTTATTTCAAACAAAGAATAAGTAATCAAAAAATTTAAGGAAATAATTTTCAAAATAAAATACAGTAAAATGGTATCTTGGTATTCAATTGTATTGAAACTCATCAGATTTGGTACTCAACACATTTGATGTGAGCATTTTGTCCCGATACTCATCATTTGTTTGGTACTCACTGCACAGTTAGAACTTGTCAATGCCGACTGCCTTGTGACTCACTACATTATTCCTTATAGGAAAAATTTGTTTGGTACTCATTGTTTTTAGTACTCAAAGTCCCAGAATCAAATGATGAATACCGAAGTACCACTGTATTCATAATAAAAATAAAATAAAAATAATAGCAATTAAAAAAATCCCAAAGATTACAAAATAAAAGGCCTGGGGTTCCTAATTCCACAGTTGAAATTAGCAGCACTCCACATCTCTATTTAGCATTTTAAGGAATATTGTGGTTTGCTGAGAAATTATAGTGAATAGAGGAGGCCATTGTAGAGTTCTTTGTTTTCACCATGGAAGTAGTAGCTTGTTTTAAATGTTAGGAACATTGCATAGTGCTTGGGTAACTGATAAATTGACTAAAAGCTACATCCATATTTCTGCAGAGCAAAATGGCAGATTGCGTAGAACACCTGTACAAAAAAAATGGATGTGCAAAATGGATTGTCATGAATAATGAATTCAAGTTCATATTGATAAACTATAGATAAGGAGGCCATGAATTATAAGGTTAAGGTTATATTTGCATGTAGGTTTCAAACTAACAGATGACAAATGGCGAGCTTAACCTTGTATGCATCTGCAGGAACAATAGCAAGGTTGCATCATAAGCTCTTTCCCTTTGTGCTATAAAAGGTGTTTTAAATGCTGCAATTCTGCTTTTGTCATTCTGGTCCACCCCACTCAAATGCCATCTCCTAAGGCTCTCTAGAATTGAAAAGGGCCCACTTTTTTTAAATATTGAAATCCCTCTCTCCAGATCATTCTTACATTGTACCTGAATCTCTTTTAAGAGTTAACTGTGGTTAAATTTTATGTACTTCGATTGCTCTGAATGTATGGAATAGCTGTGATATTTTTATGCCCTATTCTCCTTTTTTTTAATCTAGGCTCAAACATAGATGACTTAATTAGTGCTCTTAGAAACCAGAATATACTGACAGAGATACGCAGTGACAGTGATTATGAATCAGCAGATTTCCACAGTTCATCATTAAACAACAGTGGATATGTGTCATTTGCCCCACATGCTGCAGCATTAAATGTATTTAAAGTAGACAAGGTAAGAAGAGATCATAATTCTCTTCGAATATACAGGAATTTAGTAAAATGTGTGTGCAATTATATGTAGTTGTACAATATGATCTGAAAACAAATGTATCAAATTTGCTAGGTTAATAAATTTGTAGATGGTGAATTGCTTCTGGATACTTCAGTTCTGCAAGCCAGGAGACAGTGAATTCTAGTTCTACCTTAGGCACGAAAGGTGGTTGGTGACTAGGTCAGTCACTCTTTCAGCCCAACCCATCTCACAAGATTGTTGACAGGAAAATTGGAGGAGGAAGTATTAGGTAGGTTTGCCACCTAGACTTATAAAGTAATAAAGATGCAACAAAAATGTAATCCAATAATAAAACTATACAACAACAAAAATAATATTTTTGTTTATTTATATTTCATCTTTCTTAATCACCCATCTGTCTCAGAGATAATAACACAAAAAGTACATCCCGGGCTAAAAATACAAACATAATCCATTCAGATGAAACAAAAAATCTTCCACCAGGGTTTCTTAAGTAAGAAATATGAAAACAGATGTGAAACATGAAAACAGTTGGCCCAAGCAGAATTCATCCCTCCCCCCCCCAAAAAAAGCAGTCCAGAAACCATCAATTGAAAATAAAAATTTCTTCATCTGAAGGTGTTCAGGATTAAAAAAAAGTCAAAATATGCATGAAAGAAATCTTTCTTAAAAGATATTCATTCTGTTAGATATTTATTCTGCTACAGTGGTTTCCACCAAGCTCCTTTGTTCCGGCAGGAACAGAGGTTAAATCCTATTGGTCGAAGGGTCTGACGGCTCTCTATAAAAGGGCTGCTGTCAGACTCAACCTTCGCTGGATTGTTCTCACTTGTACTTAATAAAGAGCTGGGTTTACTGTTAAGCCTGTGTGTACCTATCCATTACCCAATCAAACACATTGTATTGCATAGCAGCTCTACCAAATGCAAGAAAAATATCTGCTATTTTATGTGTTACACTAGACACCAAACTACATGAGCCCCCACTAGATCAAGCTAAGGCTTATCCAGTGTAGCTTTTTGTTCTGACAGAGGCTAATTATTGGTGTCTGCGACATCTTCAAATAGGATTTAAATTTAAAGAGCTTTTCCCTGTCTCCCCTCTGGCATTAAGAAATGTGATGCCTCTGTTTCTGGAGGTAACGTATAGCCACTGCGGCCCTATTGTGGTAGCAAAGGCTGCCCCAGGAGTTGCATCACAAAAGAAAATAGGTCGTCTCCCATTTCATTCTCGGCAAATTAAGATTTATTCATGAACTGTCAGGTGTGAAAAATCAGGACCATACTTTAAGTTGCAGTTGAGATTTATTGCTCAATCCTATACATGAAAATCTGATCAACAAACTGTTCAATACCAAGGATTGACACTAGATAAGGGTCAGTGGAATGTAAAAGAAGTTCAAGAGTGGTTGGATTTAGACCATTCATGAGAATGTAATGACTCAAGACTGCTGACTCACTTAACTTCATCCTTTGGCTCTGACTGTTCTTCTCCTACATCAAGGTTCTATTCAGTTCTGACAAATTGCTAAGGAAGATCATAGAAGTGTATTAATTAGTCTGTTCAATTGTGTGTGCTAGGAAATTACCTCTCCATATGGATTGTTACTAATGAATAGATTTCAACAATTAGATCAGAGAGTAATATAAAGAAATAAAAAGAAAGAAGAGATGGTTTCATGATAATCACCCAAATCTAGTAAACCCTTTGACAGTACCACCTAGGATTCAGCAGAGATGCAGAAATACTTTGTGATCACATCATAAAGAAATTTACATCTGTTTTAATGATATCATTGATTTATATTTTAAATAGCATGAATGATACCACATTGCATCATTTTATGCTTCTAAAAGTTCATTTTAGTTCCTTTTTTGTAATGAGATATTTATCATTTCTTGTTGCGTTTTACCCAGATTTATTGGTTCCACCACAAATCCGCGAAGCCCTTATCCGCGGAGACATAAGCGCGAAGACTAATTCGCGCCGTTCTAAGCGCTAAGTAAAAACGCGACTCTACCGCGATGATATAATTGCGGAGGGCAAATCCGCGCATTCCCAAGCACTCAGTACCCTAAACCTAAACCTAACCCTAAACCTAACCCTAAACCTAACCCTAAACCTAACCCTAAACCTAACTCTAAACCTAACCCAACCCTAAACCTAACCCTAAACCTAAAACAAACCCCTAAACCTAATCCTAACCCTTACCTTAATTGAAATCGGCTTTCTGCCGCGGCGCCGTTTTAAAGTGCCCTTCTGTTGCCGCGCTGTTGTCGCGGCGGTGATGACGCGTGGTGATGACGTCGCGGCTTTAGCGACGTGCTTATGTCTCCGTGGATAAGGGCTTCGCGGTTTTGTCGTGCCACGGATTTATTCTCATAAATATAAATGTTTAATTTTTATATTTGTTGTTGCAGAATTATATCTTTACTGCTGCTTTTAATCGCACCATGATACATTCTTTACCTGTTATGATGAATATTATTAGCAACTTCTATCTATACAGTTCAAACATAACTGAAAAGATCCAAGTTTGGAGTAATCCTTTTTTTCAAGTAAGTGAAGGTAAAATTCCAAATGCTGATAATTGTATATTCTTCATATAACGATGGATAATGATGTTATATATTAAGAATTAAAATATTTTGGCTATTCTTTCCAGTATTCTACTTTAGCTCCAATCTGATTCAATTGATTGATGTTATTCATTAAGCATTTTTTTACATTGCCATTTGTACATATAGTTTCAAGCTTCATTTGCTCTAGTTTTGCCTTTTAAATAATACAAATTTTCCGAATAATTTTCATGTAAGTTTGTTGAAGAAATTCTAAGCTGGGAAATGCCACTTGAGGCCAGAGATTCCCTGAAAAATGAAAACTGGAAAGTCTCAACATATGCTTTCAAGAAAGTGTACTTTGCTAATTGTGTATAATAGAATGTTGCAGTGACTGATCTAGTTTAAAATGCTCATGACATACACTTATTTTCAACTGGTTATAAGCTGTGCCTCCATCGTTCTGGTAATAATTTGAAGAACTACCAACTATAAGAGTCGAGACATTTTTAAGTCTTGTCTCAAAAATGATTTTAGTGCTGTCATGCATGTAATGCTCTTCATTTTCTCTGCTTTATGATTTTAAAGAGTGCTGGAACCAAATACATTACATAGTTTAGCTCATAGCACAGTACAGCTCATACCTCCATGGCAAGATAGAAAATTCTCTGCATCTTAATGTAGGCATAACCAGTGTTCTAATATTATAAAGAATGTATAGGTGTCTTCAAAGTTCTCAATTATAGGAAGTGATAATATAAAAGGGAAAAAACTCTAGTATTAAGTCTTGTGGGTAGTAGCTAGAAATGATTACAGAGCAGTTTTGAAATGTAATATGGATTCATTTTTGTCAGTAGCTGGTGATACATCAGAAAGAAAAATTGTATTAATAAATTTTGGGGCTTAAACATGTTATTTAAAGTTCTAGAATTCTGCCTATTTCTTGATGTATGAATACAAATTCATTACAGATTGGAATTAGTTGGTATTGTAGGATTTAATATGAGACACATGAAACAAAATGCAGTTAACAAGGCATGATTTATAGCATACCAAAATAAGCAGGCCATATGTTTAGACTTTGTTAGATTTCAAGGTGTTTTTTTTTTTAAAAAAAAAAATTCTTACACAAAAATCTCTTATTCACAGGAAATCACTGACACAGTTTTCACTCTTGTGCTGTATTTTGAAGCTGTCTTACTAGGAGTTCTTGTCACTGGAATGCCATCATATTTTGCCATGGAGAATGCAGAAAACCACAAGGTAATAAATTTATATATGCCTTTGAGCTGGTTTTGACATAAATACCTGAGAAAATGCTAGAAAAGATCATCAAGCAGTGAGTGTATAAGGAAGAAAGTGATTATTAGAAACCAGTATGACTGTGTTAGAAACCAGTATGACTGTGTTAAAAACAAGTTTTATGTTGATTAAATAGAACAGTGTGATGTTTCCACTACCAAACGGATTGTTGAATAACTATAGCCAATTTATGGTCCTCAATGAATGTACTGGTATGTCTCCATTAAAGAAATATGCATCAGGATTCTGTCCTGGCACAGTATTTATCAACATTTTTTTAAAAAAGAGGATAAAAGGGATGCTAAGCAATTTTGTAGATGACATGAAGCTTGTGGGGGATGGAAAAGATTGCTAACACTTCAGAAAACAGTCTCAATGTCAAAAGAATCTTGATAGACTTGAATATTGGCTCTTTTCCAACAAAATTGCAAGCAATGTAGACTTCTATACTTATAGAGGTATAATGTACATTGGAACCTGGATCAACAATAGTACTTTTACGAAGAACCTGGGTGTTTTGATAGACAACCGAATGAACATGGGTTAACAGTGTGTTGCTGCTGTCAAAAAAGCCAATGCAATCTTGGTCTGCATCAATAGAGATTTGTCAATTTCACGGGAAGTAAAGTTTTGCTTGTATGCTGCCCTGGACAGATCTCATCTGGCATATTGAATTTGGGGTACCATAATACAAGAAGAATGCTGAGAAACGGAAATGATACAGAGAAAAGCAACAAAGATAATTGGGATTGGAAATAGTATTCTATGAAGAAGAATAGTTAAAAAAAAGTTCAGCCTTAAGAAGATAGCAGTCTTCCTGATACCTAAAAGGCTGTCAGGTATGGGAAGAGAGTATGAATTCATTTTCTGTAGTTCCCACAGTTAGAACAAATACCAGTGATTGGAAATTTTACAAAGACGATCCATACTCAAACTAAGGAAGAATTTCCTGACTATGAGAACTATTAAATAGTGGAACAGCTTGTCTCATGGAATTATCTCACTTCATCTCTGGAGATTCTGAAACAAAAGTTGGATGGCCATTTGTCTGAATTGATCTGCCCTAGGAGGTAGTTGGATTAGAAGACTTTCAAGATCCCTTACACTGTCCTATGATTCTGGGAAACGCCAAAACCTTAGTGATACAACCTGTGTGGTTTATATGCCAGTTAGAATATTTTCCTGAAGCAACAGAAATATTTGATTGAGTCCATAATCATTTTCTTCTACATATCACATCTCAATTATCATTAAAGGAGCTGGAATAACTTAAAAAGACATTTTAACTGATTTCATGTTATGGGTAGTTCTCAGCTTACAACACTAGTTGGGACCAGAATTTCCATTGCTGAGTGACATGGTTGTAAAGTGCAATATCACAAAACCACATCAGTCAGCAGTGGCAATCCCAGTTTGCCATCATAACCCAAAGACCATTGCTTATTAAGAGAAGGCCACACATGACATGGCCTGTTGGGGCTGTGTAACAATTGAGCCAAGTCACAATGCAATTTAGAAGGGAGAAGCTAAACAGGCAATGGGGTATAACTTTTTAAATTTCCAGAAACATTGTTATAGGACTTAATTTCATGTACATATCAGTGCCATTGCAAAGTCTAGTGGGAAAGCAATGTGCAAATTGCTTCCCAGTGAAATTTGTATCAAAATTATTAATATACATACTATGGACATGATAAAATTCGAAGAAGCACCATTAGGAGAGGTTTTGCTATATTTTGGCTGACTCTCATAGCTATATTTAGATTTAATAACTATCCTAATTATAATTGCTGATCACTCTAACGATTCTAATGCACTATGTAATTACTATCACTTCTAGTATGTACTATTTTATCTGGCTTGTAATTTTCCCCAGTCTTTAAGATGCACTTTTTTAAAAAAATTGATGAATTGTTTTTGGATCCAGTTTTATTCATGTCTCAATGTTTTGTCCATTTTTCAAAAATAACTTAATCAACTTTTAGTTGATTACATTTAATAAATTTTAATATTCTTCCAGCATTAGGATTTTATAATGGTTCAGTATTTTAAAAATGTACCATGTATATCATGTAGATATGTTTACTATTAACATATCAGCTACAAACTGAAAGAGCAAAATCAGGATGAATGATGAAATCTACTGCCACAATATGTTACCTACCTATCTATTAACCTATCTATTATTTCTTTTGCAGATCAGAGCATACACCCAACTCAAAATCTCTGGACTTTATCCTTCTGCTTATTGGTGTGGACAAGCACTAATTGATATCCCATTGTTTTACATCATTCTTCTTCTTATGATAGGAAGTTTATTTGTATTTCATCATGGAATTTATTTTTTTCCTGAAAAGTTTCTTGCTGTGGTAAGTTCTATTTTACAACAAATACATTTCCTATTATTTTTTCATTTTATTGTGAATACATTTGGATTTTAAACAATCTCTCTACAAAAGTGAATAAGAATATTTTTAACCCCCTCCCCCCCCCCAAAATTGAAAACCATGTTATTAGTTAGCCCATATTGGTTTATCCTAAGAAGCAAAATTCCAGACAAATGCTTTTCTAAAATTCATTTTTTTAAAAACTGATTATTGCTTGGTGTAATAAGAATGTTTAATTGAGGTATTAGAATTGCTTATTTTATTCATGTACTAGTATGCCAAATCTAAGCCAGGATCTCATGTCATCGCTAGGGAAACAATAGGAGCATAATTAAAATTTTGCTTCATTTGGAAATGGGTTATAATATTGCAGACATATGGAGATTCCTCATTCTTTGTTAGTGCTGCATTATTACTTTAACGATTTATTACTTTTCAGCCATTTTAGTTAACAAGAGAATCCTCTGTTCCAGTAGAGGCTATCTGAGTTCTGGGTTGAACTGTGGAATCCCTGGTGCTCTCTTAGCTTGGTTGTTTGTTTCCAGACTGTGCAAACCAACCAACCAAGCTCAGAGAGCACCAGGGACTCCACAGAATTCTCTATACTTCTTCTATCACAGTTCCTATAAAAAGTGTTGCATAAATATGTATTTTCATCAGTGACTGCAAGAAGAGTTTTGAAGAATTTTGTTATTCATTTGCTAAATTGTGTCTGACTCTTCATGAGTCAATGGATATAGCATGCCAGGCCCTCCTGTCCTCCACTGTCTCCTGGAGTTTGACCAAATTCATCTTTGTTGTGTCAGTGTCAGTGACACTATCTAATTATCTAATCCTCTGCCATCCCCTTCTCCTTTTACCTTCAATCTATCCCAATATCAGGGTCTTTTCCAGTGAGTCCTCTCTTCTCATTTGCTGGTCAAAGTATTTGAGCCTCAGCTTCAGCTTGAAGAATAGGACAGCTGAATCTGTATGAAACAGATGAGAACAGAAAAAAGGAGAAGGAATTAAGCTGCCCCATAGCTTGCCTGTTAGAAAATTCCTTTACGCTTATGTACTACTTTCTTTATCCCTAATCTTAAAAAAATCAACTAAGAATTTTCTTTTTACCTGCAGGTTTTTTGCCTTATTGGCTACGTACCATCGGTTATTATGTTTAATTATATTGTCTCCTTCAGCTTTAATGCCATACAAAATACCAAAGAATTTTGGTCATTTATTTTTTCAGTGGTAAGTTAAACTTATTTGTTGTTTGTATGATCCACCCCTCTTATAGTATAACCCAGGTGGCTAGCAATAAACATATCACTATAGACGTATGAAAAATTAAAAAAAACAGAACCCCACATTTTTTTAATGACACACTCCAGCCAGGACATCATAACAACTCTATGCCAGTTACACATGTGTTGGTTTTAATTTCTATCCTGGCCCATTGCCTGCGGGAAGAACCAGGTGTTCACAAGTCTTCTGGAAAGCCAAGAGGAAAGGAGCCTCCAAATCTTGAAGTGAAGGCTGTTCCAAAGGAGAGGTATTTTTTACAGAGAAGGCACACCTCCTAGATCCAGCCAGGTTACATTATTTAATAGAAGAGATCTGGAACACATCCATCCTATCTGATTTGGCAGGGCAGGCAGATACTCTCAGGTATAGCCAGTCCTGTTGATAACCTCTCCCATGCATCCAGAGCTTTAAAGATAATAACCAGCATCTTGAATTGCATCCAGAGAGAGATTGGGAGCTAGTGCAGCTTGGATGGCAGTGGTGTAACATGTGTAAAACTTAGAGCATTCAAAACTCCGTGCCCTGATCTATTCTGAACCAGTTGAAATTTAGTTGGTTTTCATGTACAATACTATAAGTGGAAAACGACTAAAGCATGAATGAACATGGGCAGCGGCTTTCAAACTGTGTACAAACTCTCCAGAGGAGTGCTACCCTTTTGAGATTTAAAGATGACAGCTGTCCAGATCAAGGGGGATCCAAAAACCCCAGAACCATTTTGTCTTGCTAGAGTTGAACTGCAACCAGTTCTTTCTTATCAAAACTTTGCAGCCTCCAAGAACTGAATAAGCACCTGGGAGGCACCATTTTGTCTCGCCTTAGTGGAGATGTACAGCTAAGGACCACCAGTATGCTGCACCACATGCCACCGAATAATCTCACTCTGTGGCTTCTCTCCCTCCATCCCTATGAATACAAACTGGAACTGACCACAGAGGAAAGAGAAGCTCTGCAGAACATTCTCAAGCCCCTAAGCCAGTCCATAAGTATGCTATGGTCAATAGTATTGAAAGCCACCAAAATATCCAGGATGAACACACCCCATTTCAACCCCCTCAACCCCATTGCAAGCCCTTCAAAGATCAGCCATAACTGTATCTTAGTACTATAACTCATCCTGAACTCCCACTGAAAAGGATTCGGATAATCTACTTCTTCAGATTCGTTTGTCCTCCCTCCCTCTCTCCAGGCTATTTAATGCTTTTCTCCATTTTCCTTAATTTACTAAATTACTAAGTCTTATACCTGCCAATGAGCTAAGGCTAACCCTGCACCCTGAGATGCCATTATACGTTAGCTACAATGTCTTGTATTTGATGCCATTTGCCTGGGACATGGAATGCCACTGGATAAAAATAAATAACATAATCTTTTACATTTTCTTTTCTCTTTCAGGCCGCTTTAGTTTGTTCTGTTGTCATCGAAGTAGCCTTCTTTATGTGGTATTATACAACAGCCGCTGTTCTTCATGCTTGTTTTTCTATTTTTGTTCCCATCTATCCTCTTATTGGGTGTCTCATTTCTTTTATAAAGGTAGGTTTTCTAAGAAATTGAAACAGTAAATTTATTTCTGGCACGTGCTAGGAAAATAAATTGACATAAATTAAATTATTACCTGTGAGTGTAGGGAAATATACTTGTATGTTTATAAAATTATATGTGTATATGTGTGTATTGTTCACTTAAGACAAATACTGGATAAATATAAAATTGGAGACTATGTTAAGAAAGATAATAAGTTACAATGCAGGAGCGGTGAGAACAGAAAACATTTTGAAGTGTGATTCTGCCTTCATTTTAATCATATTTATGGGGGTTTTGTTGGTTGTCTTCCCCACCAATGCTTAACAATATTGCAGATTGTGCTGTGAAGTGTTTCCCAACCCCCAGGAGTAAATATTGATAGTGTGTAAAGCATTTGGATAACAAAAGTCATTTCACTAGAGGGTTAAATTATTTCCATATTTTATCTTAAATGTGCTTATGATGATGCTCCTTATAAACTGAGAATCAAAACATGAGAAAGTTACCTTCAGGCTGAATGAAGATTAGAAGACTCTTTCAACATATAATTTGGATACTACATTTAGTATCATTCCATTTCAATTAGTATGAATTTCCACCATAATGCTTTTAGAGATTTATTACAACCAAATCAGATAGTATACAACAGAGGGACCCTCTCATTTGACTGTTCTGGATATTTCTTGAATTTAGCTTCACTTCCTGTCATTTTATTATTGTCATCACTTCTTCTCACGATAAAAGAAAGATTGATTAATCTTGATACTACTACTGTGAAAAATATTAGAATTAAAAATAAAAGTATTACCTTGTTCACCTGGAATCCCCTCAAGATGGGAAAACATTCAAATAGTTCAGTAGTCATACCGTTTTTTAAAGTTGTTGAGCTTGGCTTCAATTAAGTTTTTATTGTTTTGTTAGATAGTGCGGAAACTTGATAACAAGATGGAGAAGCATTCAGAAAGATTGTTGATTTCTGTTGTAGCGGTAAGCACCTTTTAAATAAAAGATCCAATAGATCAGCTATTTTGTTACACCTAGAAATAATAACATATTGTTTTGTTTATTTTATGGTCAGTCTGTTTATAATTTGTGCAAAACTATGATGTGTTTAAAAATTGGTTTGGCCATTGTGAAGAACGCTCCCTCTCCCTCGCAAAAGTAATAGTATTGTTTGATTTTGCAGGAGCATTGATTATACATGGAATAAAAAACACATACATTCAACTTTATTGTGTTAAATGCAGTATCATGAAAAAATGAGTTATATTATGAAGACTTTTGGATTTGGGTGGGAAAGGAACACACAACTTTTATTAGCTACTTGGAGGAACAGAACTTTTTTTCAAGACCTTAACAAGAATTATGGGGTTTTCAGTCACCCTTTTAGTCTAGGTTCATATTTATTGCTTGGACCTGAAGAATCATTTTAAAAAAACTGATCATTTCAGCTGTAATAACTGTATCTCTACTGGTACAAGTGGCTTGCTTCAAAGGCCAGCATAAAAGCAACAGGCCAATCTTGCCAGAGCTATATTTAAAAAATATTGAAGAATATTCATTTTTTTCTGGCATGCTGCCCAGAGTTGCATTACTCAAGATGGGCAGAATATCTCTTATTTCATTTTCATGTTTCTTAAATATGAAACAGTTCTTGTGATGGTAGGTGAAAATGACCTTGGGATGCTGCAGCCTACGCTACAGTCTGATAAGAGGCAACAGTCAGCAGCTGGGAGAAAAGCATTGCCAAAGGGACCCTCCCTAGTTTTCCTAAGACTAAAAAGGGAGAGGGGATGTAAATACCATCTTGCAAGATTCTGCTAATGTAACTTTACAATAGCAACAGCAATAGCACTTAGACCTATATACTGCTTCATAATGTTTTACAGTATTCTCTAAGTGGTTTGCAGAATCAGCATATTGCCCCCAACAATCTGGGTCCTCATTTTACCGACATTGGAAGGATGCAAGGCCGAGTCAACCTTGAGCTGGTCAGAATCGAACTCTAGACTATGGGCAGAGTTAGCCTACAATACTGCATTCCAACCCCTGTGCCACCACAGCTCCTAAAGATATAGTATTGGTGCTCTTGGTTGTGTTTCTTGTCTGGACTACTCAAAGAGTTAAAATTAATCTTGCCAGACTGAAAGTATTTTTTCCTCTCTCTTTTAAGTCTCCAGAAAACTAAGGAGGGTCTTTTCTGAAACGCCTCACATGCTTCTTTCTCCTCTCCCCCCCCCCCCCCCCTTCTTAGACTAAGCTTTCTCCTATCAGAAGTTGCCTAAGCTGTGCCCAAGGTCATTCTCGCATGCCATCACAATTGTATTATTCAGCTTTGACATGGATTTAAAAAAATGAAATCATAGAATGTAAAATGGACCTTCAATCCATTATAGTCATTTTACTTTGTGCTATATTAGGGCAGAATGGAATTGTGGCATAAGTAATTGATGGCATCAGGCATTTTTATTTATGGAGTGCACATTTGATTTAACAGGAACCTAAGGCAAAATATAATACACAGCATCTTAGAAAAATAATACACACAAGAATATCACCATAAATAAAATACAAATTTAAAAGCTAGAATGTTAGAGTCCAAGATGAAACAATAACAGATAGCATTAAATGCATGCCAGTTACAAGTGTCTGAATTTTGATCACATGATCATAGGGATGCTGCAACGGTCGTAAGTGTGAAAAATGTCACTTTTTCCAGTACTTTTGTCATTGTGAACGATCACTAAGTAAATGGTTATAAGTTGAAGACTACCTGTACTCGGCTGCTACAATGAATTATTTTGTAAAACATCCTATCATAAGCAAGTTGGCATTCTAAGCAGCGGTTTTCAGTTGTCTGTTTTTATTGTACTTGCTTACAAATTGTTCTTGTTTGTAGCAAAACAGAAGTTTTAATATGTTTTTTTTCTTTCATATTAGCCATATTTGCAATGTGTAGTTTGGCTCTTTCTTCTGCGTTATCTTGAAATGAAGTGTGGAGGGAAGTCAGTAAGAAAAGATCCATTTTTCAGGTTGGTATATCACTGATAAGAAAATGTAATATCCTAGTATCAAATGTCAGTAGATAATGATAAATTTCAAATACCTTTTGAAGAAACTTTTTATCCAAATAAATAAATAAATAAATAATTTATTTGATATTTCAGATTTACTGCTTAGAAATCTGTGCTTACCCTTGCATCTGATTTTAAAAAATCTATTAAAAGGAAACAGAAAACTATAGTATTAAAGAAAAAAAGACTGGAAAGAATAGTCAGTTTCTTGCACTAAAGCTTGGATTGTTTATTAAAATCCAAAGTATAATTCCAAGGAAAACACATATTCTTAGATGTAGAATAAAGAATGTATAGGTTAGTGTTGCTTCCAGACTATAGCAGAATGGCTGTTTGAAAAATATAGGTAATCCTTTATTGAGGATGGCATTGGGACCAGATAGGATGGGATGGGAATTAGCAACAGCAATTCCAGTACTCCGGGTTGCTATCATGAAGTGAATCACTATGGGTCATTAATCGAGAACATTACATGGTCGCCATTTTGTTACCTGGTGGCATTGATTTTGCTTATGAGAAGCCAGGAAAAAGATACAAATAGCAACCATGCGACACTGGGGATCTGCAATGGGAAGAACTCTGAGGACCAGTCATAACTAATACATCACAGATTGGAATAATCCCTGAACAGGTGGTTGTTAAGTGTGTACCACCTGTATCCCTTTAAAAAACATTTCCCAATGTTTTTAAATGCAGTGTCCTTTTCCAGTCCTTTGCTAATATATTTGTGAATGCCTTCTGCTGATCATATGTTTTATGAATTATTTGGTGATGAATCTGCAAATATCCTTGTGTTGACCATCATTCATTCTACAGCTTCATTTCAATTAATGGACATTATCATTTATTTCTACATAAGATCCAGCTTCTCCTGACTTTTTCTATTAATCATCTTTCATTGAATATAACAGCTTCCTACACTTTAAAGTATGTAGCCTGAAAAGCTTTTTCTTTTTCCTGAAAGATGTTTCAGCAAAGGGGCAGACTTGGAACTGTAGTTTTTCTTCCTGTTGTGTTGAATTGTTCTTCACATCATGACACCTGGGAACTTTTTCCAATCAAGAACAGGCTAATTTGAGGGCTCTTACAGCTGACTTACCTTATTGCTAAATATTACATGAAGCATTTTTCCTCTTTATTTTGTCTGTTCAAAGAGCCATTGTAGAGAATGAATCTTTTTACCTGTTTTCAGAACACCTATGAAGCCCAAGTCCTGGAAACACCCGGATGTGCCGCACGATGAGAATGAGGATGAAGATGTTACAGCAGAAAGGCTGAGGGTTAAAGAGCTGATCACTTGTCAAAGCTGTGAAGAGGTATATCTTCCTATCCCTATGTAGCTCTCTCTCCTTACTGAAAATCAGGATTGAAAGGGGTAATTTGCTTAAGTAGTCTGGAAACAGCTGATGAGTGATATGTTTTTCTGAATCTAAGAAACACAGACTCTATGTTTGCGGGCCTGGTTACATTTTATAGAAACCTAAAACCAGTCTGGCTCCCCCTCCCCTCCATCACCATGCACTTAAACACTTCCTTCTTTCTGCATTCAAGGAAAATAAAAACAGTTTATTGCTGTTCTTGTGCAGAGTGTTATAGCACATTTCTCCTGTTTCTGTACATTTTGTATGTTGCCGTGCCAGGACCTCTTCATTTCAGCTCCTTTGTGATCCACCATACAATGATTTAGCAGGAACTGGGAAACAAGAGGAGTGCTTTTCCTATGATTGTTCAGACCACACCTCCTAATGGCAGAAACCACAACCAACTTGGGAAACAAAATTAAGCCTGTTTCCCACACAACGTAAAGAAGGAATATTTTTGTTCAATATTAGTTGTGTAGGAGAGGGGAAATAGTGATCTCCTGTTGAGTGGATAATCTGTACCCCCCCCCCCCAAAAAAAAACTAGAACTGTTTTATCTATGTACATTCACTTTTATGTTCTATATGAGAAGAACCAGGTTTCTAAGTTTTCGTCCATTTAAAGGAATGTTTTTACATTGTACATTCATTGCAGCTCAGATGTAATCTCTACTTTCTTTTTTCATTAGAAACCAGCAGTTTTAGTCCATTGTTTGCACAAAGAATATGATGAAAAGAGTGATTTTCTTCTCGGAAGAAAAATAAAGAAAGTGGCAACTAATTGTGTTTCACTTTGTGTAAAAAAAGGTTAGTGTTACAATTATTTATTATGGACTCAATATTTAAAAAAAATGAGATGGATAATCTTGACAAGTAAAAACTGCAAACTCAGATTTTTTTCCCCCTTAGGCGAAATACTGGGAATGTTAGGTCCAAATGGAGCTGGAAAAAGTACGCTAATAAATATTCTGGTGGGAGAAGTTGAACCAAATTCGGGCCAGGTAATTGATTTTAACCATTTTTTTAGCAGTTTTTGTAACTGGATGTTATGGGCATTCTCATTTAAAATATCTTATAATGCAGGTGGTAATTCTTTTTGAATTGATAATATGAATACCTCATACTGAGATTGCATATCTATTATTATATACTATGAATGATGAAGGAATAGCATTGGAAGTTCATTGCTTACCAGTGATGTGTTTACTGATGGCTTTTCATACACACACACACACGCGCGCACACACATACACACACACACACACACACACACACAAAACCAACTTTTCTTCTATGGAGCTCCAGATTTCATGCTTTCAGTCTCACCCCTCATCATGTTGAGAATAGCTGTCCTATAAATAGATGTCCTATAGATGACCAAGAATCTACTCAGGAAGCTCAGTGGAAAAGTGGAAATGGAAACCTTGACCTTTGTTTGAACTACTACACCATACTAATTAAAGAGAACTGAAATCCTTGAACTAATAATATCCTATTATTATTATTATTATTTCAGTAAAGTGTGCTTATAATAACTTTTAAATGTTTCTGGCCTATTAATTAGAATCATCATTTGAAAGCAATGGTGTATCAACAGGTGCTGATGGGAGACTTTTCTTCAAGTGATAATAATGAAGATGATTCCATGAGGTTTGTGGGGTACTGTCCACAGATAAACCCACTTTGGCCTGAAATCACATTACAAGAACATTTTGAAATATATGGTGCCATCAAAGGAATGAGCGAAAGTGACTTGAAAGAAGTCATAAAATGGTAAGACATTGCAAGTGAGAAAAATAATTCATTAATATATGCAAAAGATTAATTAATACATATTAATACATTCATTAGCATGTATTGACATCATGGTGTCAACGGTTTTGGAAGGAAAAAAATGCTGTATTCAGCGTATCAGATGCACCTAGATTTTCAGCCTCTTTTTTGAGGGAAAAAGGTGTGTCTTCTACTCTGAAAAATACGGTAATTATGATAAAAAACATCATAGCATATGCTGAGTATATTTATTTATTTTCATATTGCTAAACTGTCTATACCCCTCAGACAGAGGCTCTATGTGGTATACAATATAATATAAATAATTAATAAAACAATATAAAAAATAACATTAAATTTAAATTAGGATTAAAAAAATTTAAATTATACATAATGACAAACATCAAAAGGATAAAAATTCTAAGATGGTCATTAAGCATTGGGGAATGGGGGCCATATTGCTTTTTTTTTTTTACATTGCTTATAAGTATAATACCTTTTCAAGACAGAAAGATGAGTGAGGTTCTTTTTCCCCCAGCATCTCCAGTGCACTTGACTTTAAGGAGCAGCTACAGAAAAAAGTAAAGAAACTTGGAGCAGGAATCAAACGAAAGGTTTGGTTTTCTTCTGAAATAGTTACCTTTCTAATTCATGCTATGGTGAATAACAAATAATGGCATAAATATTTGACTATGCAAGCAGAGAAAAATGTTCCTTCTTTTAACCTTTTATTATGGCTATTAAGTATTGTAAGACAGTATCCCAAATATCTTTTTGTCTAGAGGAATATAACTAAAACTACCATCAGGTCATTTAGTCACTATCTCCTCCTTTACGTGTGCTCTGTTACATAAAATGAAATTTGACATTTCTTTGAAAATAAGGGATACAGAGAATCTCCTTGAGAATTTCTGAAAATTTGACTTCATTTATGCATCTTAAAGTGATTTCTTTTTGGCTTGGCTTGGCTTTACCTAAAGTAAATAACCATCTTTGATGTATTTCCCCCACCCTTGTCTCTTTTTTAAGCTATGCTTTGCCTTAAGTATGCTGGGGAGTCCCCACATTACTCTACTAGATGAACCTTCTACTGGTATGGACCCCAAAGCAAAACAGCACATGTGGTAAGTGTCTCCAAAAGACACAGAGAATATATTCGATGTGAAATCACAACCATTTACCCTCCTATTGCATAGCGGGTCAGGATGGGCAGTGGTTAATGAAAGATCCTCTCTGTAGCCTTTAAAAGGCATTTTACTCTTGGTAAAAAATAACTTAAGCATAACAAATTTAGCAAAAAGTCAATGCTCATAATAGAAACAAAAATGAACACATTGGAAAGTTGCGATCCCAAGATGCAGAAAAAGGCTTCTATTCTCTCCCCATATGTCTTTATGTAAACATCTGGTCTAACAGAATTTATGAATACTAATGCCCTTCGTATTTCAAAACACTTTCAAAGCAGTTCGCCGTAAACAATACACACAGAGAGAAACTTCTCTTACCTAACAATTGTGTCAACCCTCCTTGCTTTCTTCTCTTTGCTCTTTGAAGATGTATAATTAATTGCAGGTGAAACTGGTCGTGCTAGTAGTTCTGCAAGAGTGCTGCCAGGGCTGGTTTCACTCACACATTATATTTCATTTTTAAAAAAGAAGGAATGGAGAGAGAATGCAGTAGTGCCAGACTGACTGGGTGGCACCCAACATTCTAATCAGGAAAGGCATCAGAATATAAATCTCTGACAGGTGATGAAGGAAGCTTTTCTTCATTCTACATAGATGATCAGGTGGATTCACCACTGGAAGAGAATCTGTTCTCTAACTCTGAAATATAAAATGGAGATATCAGCAAAATTTAAAATAGAAGCAACTTTTTCTTAATTTTCAGCTGGGAAATTTAGAAAAGTAACACTTTTATTATGGCATATAGTACACTGCAGGTCTTATTGCTGCAAAGATTGTACAAGAATAATCCACAAATTTCCAGATTGTTGGCATAATGCCCATTTATTCAAATGCTGCTACCATCCTGGCTCACCTTTCCCAGTTACCATTTGCCTCCTTAATCATTTTTGTCTTACTGTCCAGCTAATGTCAGGGTTCCAAATAACACCCCCAACGAAAGGCTAGCAATTCCTCCAAGTTCCATTTTATTAGAAATGTCATATTGGCACATCTGTGAAAGCCCGAATTGGAGAGTTCCGGGTTTTCCCCACCCAAAAGAAAGTCAAAGATCATCCCCTTCACCCACAAGTCCATCACATGGTCCAATCATTTCAACATCCCTACTGGAGACAACCCTCAGTCACTCCCATCCAGGTACAGGCCGAATGCCCTGCTCTAGGAGTGCTCTCTATGGTGGACCGGCTGCCAGACAGAGAGTCTTCTGGACAGAGTCTTCCAGTATTTTCGGGTGGGCTTATTTTTTTGCCCACCCAAAAAATGTGGTAAGGCGTTAGTTTCAGGACAGGTCATATTTTCAGGGAAACACAATATTCACCTTGAATCCTTCACATATAACTCTGGTTGCTTGCATCTAAGAAAGTGAGTTGTTCTATCTGTGAATTGTGGCATAACTGTTTGGTTATGTTTAATTGTTAATATTTTCTTTTTTAATTGGCTTTGGCTTTTTTTTTATTTCCTGAAAGCTGCTCAGAGCTTTTTGGAATGGAGGAACATAGAAACCAAATAAATAAATAATACTCCTTGCCATAGCCATCATTTATTTATATTGAAACAGTTGAACAGCAAAGAGCATTTCCAGACTTTAAACTTATTCTTTCAAGGGATGAGCAATATTATCTAAAATAGACAGAATCTTGTTTTTGTTTTCTTACCAGCAGCAGCTTCATTTCATCTGGATTTAGTTTCCACTTGTTCTTCCTTACTGCAACTTTAGTTTTGGGAAAGATTAATAGATTTATTTACGTTATCAGATTGGGACTGATATAAAGAAGAGTTGGCTTAGCAAGACCAATTTTTCCTGAGTATCTATTATGTTTGATAGGAAAGCCATCCGAGCAGCCTTTAAAAGTAAAAAGAGAGCAGCTATTCTGACTACTCATTACATGGAAGAAGCAGAAGCTGTGTGTGATCGAGTCGCTATATTGGTGTCTGGAAAATTGAGGTACCTTCTCTAAATATTAAGGTGCTTGGGGAAAAAAGAAACCAAATTTATAATTAACACCAACTTAATGATTTTAATATCAAATCTATTTTCTCCTGCTTTTCTCTTCTTCCTGCCCTGAACATCTGATAGATGCATTGGTACAGTTCAACACCTCAAGACTAAATTTGGCAAAGGATATTTCTTAGAAATGAAATTAAGAGAAGTTCCAGATTTACAGATGAAGGAACAGCTCCAGAGGGCAGTTTTGCGTATCTTTCCCAATGGAAGACCTCAGGAAAGGTAAAAGGCTGTTGTTACAAGTCAAGTAGCTATTAATCAATTCCTTCTCATACTAGAGCTGTCTCATTACACTCAGCATAAGGATTAGAGAGAACAATGGATGGATGGCAACATGCCTGATTACAGTAGTGCTTGATTCATTCTAGGCCCTTCCCATTAGCTAATCTGATCTTTGCCAGCTAGGTAAAATCTTAGCTTATAAATTTTAAGCAATTAAAAAAAACCCATAAAGATGCAATTTGAGAGGCCCAAGCTTTTAGTTCAGATTCAACAGTTAATGTATGAAATGAAATTTATTGTATGGACGATTGGTTTTTGTTAAAAAATCATGGAATATTAATAAGTCATTTTAAAGTAGATCTTTTTCCTATGAAAATATGACAGTAACTTAACACCAATACAGCAGTATTGATTGCACAACAATTATGATATACTGGTATATAAGTATGCATACTATCTAGGTATGTGCAAAATATTCCATATATATATATATATATATAATTTTTTGTAATTTTCAGTATGTATAATAGAAAATTACATCTACCGTATTTTTTGGAGTATAAGACGCACTTAAAGTGGCTGAAAATTTGGGTACGTCTTATACTCCGAATGTAGCCCTGCCCACCAGGGGTGGGGTCTTCCCAACTTTACTGCTGGTGTGCGTGTGCGTGCTGGATGCACGCTCCACACCATGCACAATTTAATTGAAATTGTTCTGTACATGCGCAGAACTAAAAAAAAAGATGGCGACAACCACGAGGGAACCAATTTGGGGGTGTGGCAGGCCTGGGTCACTGCCGGTTCCAGCAACCCAGGCCGCTATACCACTACCGGTTTGACTGAACCAGTTTGGCCGAACCAGTAGGAACCCACCACTGCCACACCGCATCTAATATTACAGGATAATCATATTAATAAGATTTCATTGTAGTTTTTAATTTCTTATCCTTTACCCAGAGCTGTACAGTCTTTTCACTAAGGCTAAAATAGAGGCTGGCATCTGTGTGTATCTGTACACCATAGGATTAGTGGGGATCCTTCACAGTTCCATTCCTGTGGCTCTTCAGTTTCCTGTTTGTAATGCTTTTTGCTTAAGTATCTATGTTCTAAGCTCCTTTTGTAGTGTTTTGATTGTTAGATCTGAAATTACGTCTTCAGATTTCTTGTTAACTTTTTGATAAAGGCTATTTTACTTTGAGGGAAGCTTTCTAGCTGTCTTCTGGTATTTCTTTTAATCATCATCTGTGTTTAAAAACTCTGCTGGTCTCCTTTAATGCAACTTTCCCTCCTGAATCTTTTTTCTTGTACATTTATCTTATTTTTCTGCCTCTTTTTCTAACCTGCTTTCTGTCTTGCTGAACTTTTCTTTAAACATTGATAGTTTTTCAAACTTTAAAGCATGTTCCTCTTTGCCTTTTATTGGAGAAATCTTCCTTGGATCCTTTTTTATCTTCAGATTATTGGACTTGGTCTCTCTCTTTCCTTTTTCTGATCTGAGGTTTCTGAGAGTATCCTTCCATAATTGATTCTTTATTGTCTTCTAATGACATTTTAAATCCATAACTATCAGGATTTCAGCCAGGAACTCAACTAAGAAAACACTTTGTCAAACACTGAATGATATTTCAGTGCTAAAATCTTAATATTTTATTGCTGTTGCCAATCCTTTTTGGACCTAATGTCAGTATTTGAGAGTCTCAACCATTGAATATTGCTGTTAAATTATGATTCCTGAGCATCATTGCCAATATGGTTGATTGATATAGAAATCGTTTTTCTTCTCCTTTCTCTGCAATACTTTATGCTGGATTAGAGTCTCAGCAATTTCCATTTATATTAAATGTCTCTCAGGGTTCGGTCCTATATTCTGTTTTATTTACCCTCTAAGTTCCCTGATTTACTGGATTATTTATTTATTTATCAGTTCCCCGATTTACAGTTAGGGTTTTCAATATCATTGATGTGCTGATAAAGGGTCTCTTGTGACCCTTGATGACAGTGCATGGCCCATATCTTACTAGCATTTCCTCTTGAATATCTTCCCATTATCTCAAGTTGAATATGCATAAGTCAGACATTGTATTTGGCCTGATGATACTCCCCATCCTGTATTGTGTCTTTGCTTATTTGTCTCCAGGGACCTTGGGTGTTCTCAATTTCTTTCACTTGCAGCCTCAAAGTTTTTTGATTGATGATTAGCTGACTTTATTTGCATATTTATTTATCAATTCTTTATAGCCTCCCATCTCAGAACACCCATTTGGCAATCTTAGAGCAAGGGTCTAAGATTGCATTTGCATTTATCTATTTACAGTCTCTATCAAATTTGTGTAGCTGCTCATTTCACAAAAAGCGATTCTGGGTGCGATTCAACAAACCAATAAGCAAAATTATAAATATAACAGACAAAATATATTACAAAAATATTAAAAAAAATAAAAAGATAAATATTATAAAAACAAATAGAGTTGTGATGAATAATTGTAGGAAGATGGTGGGGAACAATGGAGAAGAGAATAGCTTTGTTAGCGGTGTTTTTTTTTTGTACTCTTAGATTATGGCAAGTCTTTTGGCAGATGTTCCTCATTGTGTCTCCGCTCTTAGTCTAGTACAGCTCCATTCTCAATGATCTGAATGATGCCAATTCTTCTCACATTCTGTTGTACCAGAGGTGGCATTCAGCAGGTTCTGACCAGTTCTAGAGAACCGGTAGCGGAAATTTTGAGTAGTTCAGTGAACTGATAAATACCACCTCTGACTGGCCCCACCCCCATCTATTCTGTCACTCCCGAGTCCCAGCTGATCGGGAAAGAATGGGGATTTTGCAGTAACCTTCCCCTGGAGTGGGGTGGGAATGGAGATTTTATGGTATCCTTCCCCTGTCATGCCCATCAAGCCACGCCAACAGAACAGGTAGTAAAAAAAAAACACCACTGTGCTGTACCAAAAGGCTCTACTTATTTGAACCAACACCCAGTACCAAAACCATTGGTACTTATATTTGGAGCTCTCTGGTCACAAATTTCTCAATATCTATCTTATTGGAATCCTTTTTACTCCTTATTTCTTTTGTACCAGACCATCCTTCAGAATTGTAGTCTGGCTTCTTTCAGGATTGCAATCCTGTAATCAGCTCCCTTTTTGTCTTTTCATCTCTGTACAATTTATTTGCCTTTTAAAGGGGTTGGAAAGTTTTTCTTTATGGCTGCTAGTTAGTCTAGGGCCTGGTTATCCCATCCTACTAATTAATCTTGGCAGTTTTACATTAATTCTGGTTTTATGCAGGATATACGTATTCTCAATTGTATCAAAGTCCATTGTTTCTAAACATGTTTGGTTTGTCTCTCTGATTAACATTTATTTACTAGTTTGGCTATTAAGTTGTGAATATACAGTATGGAATTCTGTAATGACACTTTCTGATTTATACTATATCTCAGTAAAGGTATCTAATAAGTAATTATATTATTATTGTTGTTGTACAATTGTATCACAGCGGCCAGTTGTTTCGCCGGATTTGGCATTGGTTACTAGTCGGGCCCCACCTAGGGGCCTAGGACGTCGTAACGTATTTTCTTAATATGCGTGCAGATCCAAGCAGTGCGACTTTTTGCATTTGACTGATGGTGATTTTGTCAATTTTTAACTGTTTTAAATGTAATTCTAGTGCTTTTGGAATAGCACCCAGTGTGCCAATTACCACTGGAATTACCACTGCTGGTTTGTGCCATAGTCGTTGAATTTCGATTTTTAAGTCCTGGTATCTTGCGATTTTTTCATGTTCCTTCTCGGCGACCCTGCTATCACCTGGTATTGCGATGTCTATGATTGTGACCTTATTTTTCTCAACCAGTGTGATGTCTGGTGTATTATGCGCCAGTATTTTGTCGGTTTGTATACGGAAATCCCACAAGATCTTGACCATCTGATTTTCGGTGACTTTTTCAGGCTGATGTTCCCACCAGTTTGTTGCTGTTTTAATATTATAATTTTTGCACAAATTCCAATGGATCATTTGTGCTACTGAATTGTGCCGCAATTTATAATCAGTCTGCGCGATTTTTTTACAGCAGCTGAGTATGTGATCAACAGTTTCATCAGCTTCTTTGCAAAGTCTGCATTTGGCATCATCAGAGGATTTTTCGATTTTGGCCTTAATAGCATTTGTGCGGATAGCTTGTTCTTGCGCAGCCAGGATTAGTGACTCTGTTTCTTTCTTTAATGTACCTGTTTTTAACCATAACCAAGTTTGTTCACTGTCCACTTTATCTTTTATTTTTTCCAGAAATATTATTATTATTATTATTATTATTATTATTATTATTATTATTATTATTATTATTATTCATTATGGATAAAGCAAAGATAAAAGAATTTATCAGTGATGTCCATAAGCAAGGTCAATATTCTCAAAATGGTGAGCATGACTGAGTGACTGTACACACTGTTTTTGTGTGTGCGCAATGTACAGTGCATATTAAAAGAGGGCAGGGCTTCACTTGTTGGTTGCCTCTACCATTTTGATGTCACTGACCTTCCTGTATAATCCTGGTGTTTGACGAAATATCTAATGACATTGCATTAAAATACTTAAACTAATATTACTCAAACTATTTGTTTTAGAATATACTTCCTTTCTTTCTTTTGTTGCAGTTTTGGCTCAATTTCATCATACAAAATCCCCAAGGAAGATGTCCACTCACTTGCCCTGTCTTTTTCCAAACTTGAGGAAGGTAAGGTAACAGAATACTAAGTGAACTGATCATCTTAGAATGTCTGTCTCTTCGTTAATCTTTTCACTTTCTTAATAATCCATCCTCATCATTTTGCCATCTTATGTCATGATTTCATCCATTTTTGGTCAGTCAGATACCTTTAATATATATCAAGCTATTGTAACAAATGAAGTTTTAACTATTTTCTATTCAGTCTCATAAAGTGCTTGGAAGCATGAACAGAGCACCTATCTGCAATACACTGAAGCAACTGTTTGCAGGATTGTTCGGCAGCGGCACAGATCAGCCACGTGATCCCATGATCTTTAATATATTGCAGACAGATGTGTTCATGTTCCCAGTCACATTATGGTGATTAAATTCAAAGGACTGCATATCCTAATTTCTAGCCTTTCTGACTTGCTTTCAGGATGTGTAGAGAAGTTAGTTGAACATTAGAACTGTTACAGAAGTGTGTGTTTTGAGAACTGAACTTTCTTTTTTCTTTAACCTGTAAACACTGCTTGACTAAGTACATCCATGAATGAAAAGCAGTTTCACACTAATACACTACTGCTGATTCCCCCCTCTCCCCCATATTTTTCAAAACCACAAAGGAAACTTTGAAGAGGAAAATAAATCCAACAGAATTTCTTTTGTTAATAGAAATAACTTCCACTGAGAAAAGCATTCCAACAGATTAACAAAGAGTGCCCACAAAACTTGATTTGGTCTCAGTGTAGCAATTATATAGCAGTTTTAGTAGTTTTATAAATCATCATGTGCATGGGCTTTTGGAATGATCTAGCAGCTGTTCAATGGTTTTGGCATCAGATGGAATTGGTTGTTTTATAAAGAATCTTAATATCAAATACTTTGATACCTGTCTTTCAATGACAATTAAGTTTTTAATTCTTTTAAACAGCAAAACATGCCTTTAATATTGAAGAGTACAGCTTTTCTCAAGCAACTCTTGAACAGGTAACTCAGACAGACCTTTCCAAATAATTGTACTGTATTATACTTACTAATTCTTATATATGTGTGTGTGTGTGTGTGTGTGTGTGTGTATATATATATATATATGTATGTGTGTGTGTGTGTGTGTGTGTGTATACACACACACACA